TACTCTCTTCGCCACACGCACAGCGAAACATAGTCCATTAAGTAAGAGGTCTGACCGTCACTGGTTGAATGTATGTGACTACGTTCAAGTAACCTTGCGATAATGTTAGTTGAGAAAGCCAGAGATTGGCTTATTTAAGATGATGCGTCAAGACTAACATTTCAGTAATTCGACTTAAAAATACAATATTGGCTGTTCCTGTGCAATCCTCCTGCGAAACACGATGACTGCGTGGAATGTCAATGTTTGCCAGGAATGATGATATTTTGCACATGGTGAAGGCTGAACGTGAAAGTTCGCTCGCGCTCACCGTCATTCATGCTGGGAGTGATACTTGTTTGGGCTTCCTTAAGTTGGAAATCGTATTGGACATTACCCTCGACCAGTTGCTGGTGCAGTGACTGCTTGAATCAGGGACTTCGACTTCATGGCTGCCGTCCTTGCTACGTTTCATAGTTCTCGTCGAAACTAAAATCTTGCGAATATTGCTCGGGCCAAGCAGATGATCCCTCTTGTGGCTGCTGCTAGCCACCATGGTCGGCGATACCATCCTTCGTTGAATACCTCACTGAAATACGTATCTTTCGTGCTGAAGATGTAGCCTATCACTGGAAGCGTTTCACGGGTGCACCTCTTGTGATTTTACAGACTACTAGAATGCTACGGCGAAGCAAGCTATCAGATCCAGATGAGTTTTTGTCGATGTCACAATCTTTCTTCGTATACCAGCCGTTTCAGCTTGGTGGTCTTCAGATTCGATTTCTTCCGTGAAATAATTCTGTGGCTTACAGCGTTCATTGTTGAACGTGATTGTCTGAGCGAGTCAGATGAGCTAAGATGCTAGAATTTGAACAGACTTAAGCAGCACATCATCGGACTCATGCTCAAGACTGACAACTCATCACGTGGAATTCATCGTTTCAAGCTCCCTCACACTAGTTATACATTTGACCTTCATTTTTTTGGTCGCACTGAAATTACAACCAAACTAAGCTTGAATCTCTGCTGTCACAGTTCTGGCAATAGGGAGGGGTAAAAAATTGAGAGTTTAATGCATTAGCTAAATTTTAACTCAAAATATCTTTAGAAATCCTTGCTACATTCAGTAGAGATGAACAATTTCTAGGATATTGGTCATACTTTAAAATAAAATAGAAGCTGTACTATTATATTCCAAGGTGATCAATAATTCCTGCGGTTGTCAATTCACTTCCCATCTCGTTAATTGTAGGTTGAGTTCCTTGATAAAATGTTCGAAATTTCAACGGCTCAAGTTCCAAGGGTCAATTTCCAATGGTAATTCGAATGGGAGATAAACATCTGTAATACTCCGAATAGAGTTTATGTGGATATAAATTATCGGGCGTTTCATAGTTCCAACCATTCCAAGGTGATAGAAATTCATACAAACATAAAAACAATCATTCTAAAAAAAAAGTGTTAGAAATATATTGACGATGTTTAGATAGTAATTGCAACTTACGGCTAGACTAGTCCTCAAACTGTAAATGAGATGTTCTCATTGCCTCGACCCAGAAGGGTAAGTACACATAACATACTAAGCTGTCATTCTTTGGTGGCTTGGTACAACCAGCCAACGAACGTACTGTTCTAGAAGTTGTAGTCATGATCCGTGCTTTGTAACAGATTCTAGTTCAGTACGGAAGCGGGGAGTTGCGGTTGAGGAAAGAAAACTAGGCTGAGTCATGTCATCGAGATTTCTGTCATTGAGAATAGGTTGGCGAGTCAGATGTCAGACACATGATATCCACGTGATGTCTAATAATATGCCCTATATCGTTCAATAAATTTTTTTTCCTCTGAATATAGGAAAGTTTTCCAAGGATAGTAAAACTTCAAATTTCAAGTCTACGTATCGTTCTAAACACTAACTTGTAGCAACTTTTCCTTGAAACTGAGATTATGAGTTTAATTAAAATGAGAGAATCTCATCTCAAAAGCTCATGATCACACTTCTAATAGAAGTGTGATATGAATCAGTGTACTAACTCTGGAATGCACAGAACTAGAGTCATCACAAGATGAAACAGCAAGAATTAAATTGATAATCAATATGAAGATTACATTTTTTGAACAAATTTGTGGATTCGGTGGAAGTATATTTGACAATTGAGTCACAAGGTTAGTGTGTTTAACATCTACTTATTTTGCTGTTTCAAGTTTTGAAATTTTCTTCAAATGAGATTATAATTTCTGGCTAACATAGCTGTTTGCATCATGAACAATTCAGTTGTAATTTTTGTTGGATAGATCACATAAAAGAATTCACATTCTGCAGAGTTCAATTGATATTTGAAGCACGTGCTGTTCCACCTTATTTGTCTTCATGCCTCAATGAGTTTGAGGAATTTAGTGAAGATTATGTAGTTAACTCGCTATTTATTGCATACAATGCTACTCTCTTCTCAAGGAAATGGGAGATGTTTGAAATGAGTAACGAATCATAGTTCTATCCAACAGCGGATTTCCTTGTTTTTCAATGGGATCCATTTTCATGTTCAATGTTCATCTTCGTTTTTTATCTGGAGCAATTTCAAAAAACTCAAAATCATATAAATGTGATATATAGGTTGACTAATTTTGATGACAACACATATAATTACGTCATAATCTATTATATTTCTCATGCTTTGATGAAGAATAAATCATAGAGATGATGAACACATATCTTCAAAAAAGGTCTATTATATTTCATCCCATACCTCCTCCAAATTGAGCTCTATATTCTGCTAACCAAATGGATCCAGCACATTTTAGAGCTTGATTTCTTAACCCAAAAAAAAACACGTAGCTCAAAAATGTGCAGGTGTTTACAGTTTTTAACTTAAATTTGGAAGTAATATCTACTAGTTGTGAGTTATGGATTTCAAAGTAAAATTTTACAACCATTGAATATTTTCTGTACATGAGGTCATTAAGTGAGATACAAGCCATTGAGTAGGAAAAACTAGCAATCATTTATGATCACAACTGGTATTCTTAAGCATTTTACCAAAAACTTTTTGAACTTTTTTCTTTTAAAAAAAAAATTTAATCCATTTTTCATAATTTCACTAGATGAAAATATATTGAAATTAATAGAGGGGTTTATTCATATCTTTTTTTTAATTAATAAAAAATTGGAATCTTTAATATTAAGAGTATATTATATCTGGCCAGCGCAAGGTTTTAATGGATGAAGTTCATCTTATGTATAAAATGACAACAAAATACTCTTAAAATCAATTTATAATACACTTAACTTGGTCTGAAGCTAAGTTTTAATGATTGCAGCGGAGAAAAACTTTTATAATAAAAAAAAAATTATTCTTGATTAACAAGTGAAAGACAAAAGTTGGAATTAGCAAGTTCTCCAACACAAATAAATCCACATAGGAAAGTAAAATCATCTCCTGCTTACAAAATCAAGACCAGAAAATCATGCTCATGACTATGAGAAGGGTAGGTATCAGTTTTACACATATGTGATCTCTAAAGTTTCAAGAACATTGTAATTAAGAGATTGTTAAATTCACCTCACAAGTTATTAAATTCACCCGGTCGCGGTTGTTGTCATGGCAACAAGACATGTCAGAAGTTAATTTTTCTTCTCGTCGCGTTGAGTATCGGTTCCATACTCTCTTTTTAATATATTTTTCTCCCCTTGCACACTTTGAAACATCTTGTCAATAGTGTTATTTGATGTTTTTTGATTCGTTTGTATGGTGTATTGTCAGAAAGTGTAGTGTCTCATAGCTGAAAAGATAGCTGAATCTGCACTTGGAGGTGATCTGATTATATGTAGAAGAGAGAGATGGAATATGATACTTTGCAAAACATCAACATTCAAATTGAACAATCTTGTTGCGATCACAAATGCTCCAACAAGTTGAATTTAGCAATGTCTTTAAATTATGTATAATAGGTAACTATGATTTTTTTATAAAATTTAAGTTGATATCGCATATATCTCATCTATTACTGAAATAATATTTCAAATTTTTTTGAGATTGATGACATCTTTCCACCAATATTCTAAATCCATGGATCCATCCTGCCATTGTATGTACTGTATTTCCATTAGGCGACAGTCGGAGGAAACCCTAAAAGTCGCATTCAGAGATCTTCCAGATGAGCTACACTGACTGCCACGTGGTTCACGCCAACGAGCGCGATGAAGTACAAGAGCTCTCGAGGCCTTCGGGAAGAGCTGAAGGTGAATAAGATGCAGCTCATGCTGGACTCGAGCAATCTTCCATCCCTCGAAGAAGAGTGCTCGCTACTTTCTCGCTGCTCGTCTCGTCCTCCGAAGGCTACACCGATCTCCATTAGAGATCCCAATCCCGTTCTCAGTCCAACCTCAGAGCATACTCACTTGGAGTATCAAGTGTTATCAAAGACTCTCATTCCACCTTAGTTTTGCCGTTCGATACATATCATCTGACTCCTACTTCTTGAGACCCATTACCTCGTTTGCACGTTCTTCTAACCATGGGTGATTTGTGTCTTCCGACACAGCTCTACGTTACTATTGAAGAAAGGATTGTTTATGTCGAGAATTCTCTCTCGACGAGGAGTATGAAAGTCTACAATCAACGGGCATATGAGGTACTTCTCTTCTACTTGACGGGTTCGTGGATGAACTTTTCTCATAATTTTTGAACTTCGTGTGCGTCTTAACTAGAAAATTGGTCATAAGATACAATACCTACTACTTGTCTACATAAAAGCCCTAGTAACCCGAGTTTCTATGAGTCTTGTATATCTGCTATGTCGACCAAGACGTCGACTAGAGTATCTTCGTTAAGGATGTGCTTGAGATTTCTTGGACCAGTCTTTTTGACCATGGAATCTCGTCTTTGTGTTTTGGTTTCGAAGTTAAGGTTAACTTTGGACACATTTGCTGCATTATATGTTGGCACTAGTTTTATCCACAATATTTCTAGTTGAGTTCACTTGATATAGGTGTTCGGGGTTGGTATTGAATGGATCTCTATTGCTTTTTCCTCAGTACTTTATTTGTGAAGTTCTCTGAGGAGTTCACTCAAGCAAGAAATTAGATCGGTTCCTTTTGAAGGGACTCTAGTTTTTCTTCAGGACTTGATTGGTATTTAGACTCGCTTGTGAGATCATATGCACAGTCTTCTAAATTGAAGTTTCGATGTAGTTACTATTGTCATGATTGTTCATGTTCTTCTATTATAACGTAAGAGTGTTGTTGCAAGACCTCATTGCTGTGACACGTTGCAGTCATGCGAGGTCGATAGTAGAGAGTTTAATCCAGCTTTCATCATGGCTTTGGCTCTAGATAAACACCCCATTCTTCTCATTTATTCCTTAACAAGGTCCTGGACATTCTTTGGAATCCTAAAAACAATAACCTAAAGCTTTATAAAGATAAAAGATGTTCGATGTTAACCTTTTATTTAGAAAGAGTTTAGAATAACACTGCTTTTGATACTCGATGCAGGAAATCTAGGTCGCCTATTTGCAAATCTATCCCATCTCTATTGAGATGAAAATCAGGGTTTGATACGTCTTTCAAACTACCATCAACTTCTTGGAAACTGGCCATCTTCTACATACTCTGTTGCTGCAATCAGAGAGGAAGTGCTTTAAGGATCAAAACTTCCAGTGTCAGACCGGGTCCAAAGCCGATGACGAAACCATACTTCGAACTCTCGCCTGTGGTGGAATGAGGTCCCAAGATGGAGCGCTGGTGGATGCGATCAAGCACAAACAACACGGTGGCACTAGACATATTACCATACTGTTCGAGTATCTCCCGGCTAGCCGCTAATTTGGAAGGGTCTAGCTTCAGCTTGCGTTCTATCTGATCCAAGATGGCTGGACCTCCTGGGTGAACAGCCCAAAACATATCTTGGTAATCTGGAGAGCCGACATTTGCCTTGGCTTGCTGGAGATTTTTATCGATGTTCTTAGATATAAGTCCAGGAACATCCTTCAGAAGGTGGAACATCAGACCAGCTTCAGTTAGATGACCGTCAATTGCGCCATCACTGTCTGGAAGTATTGTTTCTCCAGACCAGCATATCTCAAATGCTGCCTCTTCCAGGTCCGGCTTGGGATCAGAGCCCACAATGACAGCAGAAGCACCGTCACCGAAAAGTGCAGAGCCAACAAGCCCATCCACATGACTTTCATCTGGAGCTCTGAAAGTCACACAAGTGATTTCACTGGCCACCACCAAGACACGGGCACCTCTGTTGTTCTCAGCCAAGTCCTTGGCCATACGAAGAGCAGTGGCACCTCCATAGCAACCGATCTGATAGAGCATGGTCCGCTTTACCGTGGGTCGGAGTCCGAGAAGTTTGGCCAGCGCATGATCAGCTCCGGGCATGTTAACCCCACTCGTCGTCGCGAAGACAATATGGGTTATCTCCTGTTTAGGCCTGCCCCATTCAGCTATCGCCTTCAGTGATGCTTCCTGAGCTAGTTTTGGCACCTGCTGGATTGCAATTTGCTGTCGTATGTCTAGAGATGGCTCTTTGTACGTACATATCGATGGATGCTCCCTCAGGCGATCGTCACTCATGTAGAAGTGACGTTTTTTTATTCCCGATTTTTCACCTGTCACAACGCAGTGGAAAAAAAACATTAGCTGGAGAATGTGAGGTGAAATTTTAACAAGATTACACCTCTACTCTAGCTAATGAATTACAGGATGACATGATCAGGGATAAAGAAACGTCATTCCTACGTTCCTGACGTCAAGGCATAACGTTGCATCTCCGGGACTCTAATCAGAAGCTGGTTTGCTCACGTTAATCACATGCTTTCATACTTTCATACTTTCAGGATATCGAGTACTAAGAAAAGACCGAAGGTTTAGCTCTGACAAATGCTACACCACAACAGGGACAAAAATGATGGTTGTCATTGCAGAAACACTTGCATCTCGAGTGTCATATTAAGATACAATAGAACTTAGAAATATAGCTTCTTGCAAGTGTCTGCATATGTCATGAACGTATTTAATCCTAGAGGAACACAGAGGTGAGACAGTAATGACTACTAACATATGCGCTGGAACTTCTGCTTGAGGTCAGGCTTGTGATTGCAGTTGGTGATGTTGAAGAAAAAATCCGGATACTCTGTCTGCTCGTGCACGTGTGGCGGCACAGCTATCCCAATTGCCATGATTGAAGCAGGACCGGATGCTGGGGTGACTCTCCTCAGCATGAGGCTGTGAGACGAATCCTCATGAATGCTGCCGTATCCTACCGAAGACTCCTCGGAAGTGGTGGACATAGCCTCAGCTCTGCTGGATGCCATACTGCTGGCTGGAATTTGTAAATTGTATGAAATTCGAAGGTGAAAGTGGGCCTCTCTTTAGCAGCAACAATATCAAAGTTCTCTGGACGTCTGTCTATGAACATGATATCAGAAAGCAGTTCGCATGAATTAGTCTCACAATCCTCAAAACGAAACTCACTGCTTGATAAGCAAAGCATTTTCTCTTTCTCGATTCCCTGATATATCGAAGATAAAGTAATCAATGTGCGTTCTAGAAGATATCTTAATTGTAGACATTCAAATAGGGTCCTGTTTTAATCTGTCAGATTTCAGTGTAAACTCGTCCACTCTATGCGCATGATGTCAAACTGTACCTGGTTTCTCACACCGTTGATTGGTAGGAGATGAGCTGCTGTTGACTGGTAGAGGTTACTGTAAATCGATGTAAATCGCCTGGTGATAGTGGCCTGCAGAAAGTGGCGCCTGACACAAGTGGTCTGTCCAGAATACAAGATCCCCTCTCAAATTCTAGACTGCAAAGCCTCCACTGTCTATCTCTCACAGTATGTTCACAAGTCCAGCTGCCACAAGTATTGGAATGATATCTCGATCGATAAATATTGATGTAATCGCGAGCAGGATCTCTAGCAAGAGTATACTGATTGAAGACCAGACTCTCGAGAAACTTGCCAATTGGAAACCCAACAAAAAGCTGAAGAAAGGAGAAATCTAAAAATTCAAATTGAAGCAATGACTCTCGGAATAAATCTCAGCTCTGGTCCCTGGATTGTCCTTCAAATCAAGTGCAGATATTTGAATGCCAATATAGGAAGCCCCTTGAAATCGAGAGCTGGATTTTTAAGGCCAGTACAGAAAGCCCTGATATCCCCTTCAAATCGAGCACTATTACAATGGCCAGTACAGGAAGCTGTGGAACTACAAGACCAAACGCCCCAACCAAAGCAAGCACAGTAGGATCGTCCTCCCAAAAACAGCTCGAGATGTGAATGATTCAGAAACCCAGATAGAAGAAGCTGCTGTGGAAGTAGGCGAATGATGCAAGGCAGTGTGACTGAACTCAGAGGCCTGATTGCTATTTATACTGAGAAACCTCGTTGGTGGAGGAAGGGCACACTGCGTTGGCATGAGCAAGATCCCAGGCTTTTCTACGCGATTATTTTGTGAAGGAAGTCGCGAATCGTATCCAAAGGAAATTGGGCAGGCGGGCCTGCAGCACACGTCCTGACTGGACCACTGATGTCTGGTGGTAATTGCAAGGACGATAGAGGTAGAAATTCCAGGCTTTTAGTCAACAACCTGCAGCTACTGAGGTCGAAAGGTATCAGATTGTACTAGTAGAAGCAATTCATGGTGAGAGGGAAAGAGGCGCAGTGGTTGTTCTATCAGCTCAGTTGTCAGATTGGTCACTGGCTGTTAGATGCTGATCTAATCGGACGAGCTGGCTCGCGGTTCACAGTCAAGGACAGTTCATGTGGAATTAATGAGCCTGACAGGTTAGTTATGAATCAGAGAGTCAGTGAGAATTCTCACAAGACGAGTCCTTTTGGACATGTTCTCATGCAGATCTGATGAACCTGAGCTGCCTGGTCATAGATCTGCATGGAGGACCACATGAATTCCAGACGCCGCCAGTAGCAATTACTGTTTCCTTTTCGACTTGACATCGCTGACAATGAACATATCCATTATGCACGTAACCTTACAACCAGCTGCAGTATAACAAGTACAATTTCGTCCCTCAGACTCCGCGACCAATCCAATTTCAGTCTTCATGCAAGTCCGATGTTGGCCCTCGAATTCAACTACCATATGTCAAGTCCAGTAAGCCAAAATCTAAAGGGTCCAGATGAATTTCGTATGGTCAGGCACATGGATCTGATCTATCAGAACATCGCTTTGCATTCAAATCGAAATATGCATGTCAGATCTTGGATCTTCGCTTCTCCCATAATATGTGACATTCTGGTGGCCCTTCCCTATCAGGTGGGTCAGTTTTGAGCTCTTGAAAATTTTCTAAAACCAGAACTCTGATACTCTGATCTGGATTGTAACTCGAGCTGACTGGTCGATCATGACTGAGATGTGATCGACTTTCCACTTGGTTTGCCTATTTGGATGCTACGTGGGGTTAGTGTATACTCAGAAGTATTTTGTGACACGAGCATTATTTCTTTAAAGGGATTTTAGACTCCTCAAAATTGCAAAATTTTATCAAATAGTATCTACTCGCCCATTGACAACGTTTCTCAGCATAGTCGATAAAGACGCGTCTAACTTCGGTTCGAGGTAATGGAGTGGCTTTCGTTCTAATCCGTCGTTATGATATGTTCCTTGAACATATCATAAGGACGGAGTGGACATAAAGGTGGGGTTTTCATGCTTGATTCCTAGTTCGAGATGCCGATGCCATTTATCCCCAGAAACCACTAGATGCTTAAAAAAACTCAAAGCGAGACCTTCAAACGGTTGGTTAGGCGCCATGAAAATTGTTGCAGTCATGTCCCTTCATCTTAAATTTGAGGTCTTGGATAAAGTGAATCATCCTTTCATCACATGACATTGATTGACACTTTAGTGCTCAGAAGGTAAACATTCTCTCTAAAAAAACATTAAAAGTTTAAGCCCCTTTGGAGAGAGGATACATATTCTTCTGGCTTAAAGTACCACATTTTCGCTCCAGTCCCTTCAAAGTTGTAGCTTGCCAATGCTTGCAAATTTGAACTGCAATGTTTGCATAACATTGAACTTCTGAGTTATTACTCACCTTCATGAAAGTGGTCTCTAACTACACATGGTTGGTTTCTGTCGATTGAAAGCTGCGGTGATGTTTTACGAGGGTGACTTAGCGAGCCATGACGGTTGTTAAATATGGATGTAATCATCCATACTGCAGTTTCTGCAAGTGAAAACCTGCAAAAACTGTACGTGATCAAAATATATTTCCATATTAACTCTTAGCGATTTAAGATTTCACCCAGATTTACGAGCAATGTCTACAAGGCTGCTTTATAATTTGCAGAAATGAACAAATATGATGACAAGAGATATTTACAAAAATGCGAAACTAACCATCAATCTGAAACAGATTTAGGCCGAACGTCAGAAGAGCTCGATATCTGACGAGCAGTTGAGCGAAGAATGTGCATAATGCATGCTCGGCATCTTGGATACATACAAGTTGTGTTTTCAAGGTTTTGGTCCACCTACTTTGCAAATAGACGTAAACAGTTCAATCTGTCCATATCTATTTGCACGGTAGGTACACAAATTAATTTCATGCGTCGCCGTGTTCTCTCGGTACAGAAGTGAATAACCTCAAGTACTACACTCGGTGTAGTCAGCTCACTAAGCATGGGTGAGATACGCCAGCCTGTCGACGAACATGTGATTCCATGTGTACTGTAACTGATGACTCGACAATGGGAGACACTTCGTAGTCATTCGATCCACCTCTGACTGCCTTCACTGTCACATCCTCTCTTTCTGTGGTCCAGGGACACTGTTTACTGAAAATTTGACTTCCACTCCTGTCGAAATGCAGAAGACAGGATGAGAACAGAAATGCAAGAATAATAAGACCTATTCCTATTTCTGTATAATATGGGCTTGTATTTATCAGTCTCCATGATATTAATATGAATAGAATTACGATTACTCACAGTCCCCCAATTGGAGCTGTTTGTTACTGATTCTTTGCTGGTATAAGCTAGGAACTTCATTTTGCTCGCTCTGCTGCTTCATTATACTCTTCATATTTTCGTCAAGAATTAAGAAATTTTTGTTGAAATTTGATGGCTGAAGAACAGATGCTAGTGGACTGGAAAATTGAGAATTGTAGCACTGAACCGTGGACAAATTCGAAAAAATGTAATTGTTATTGTCAAACCCGCCCATGACGGTCGGGATATATTTCAAGAGCACCGAGCAGATTTTGTAACAAAAGATGATTAATTTTTTTGTGCAAAAGATTCCTACCACTCGACTCTAGTGAGCTTAAAAGGTCCTCGCTGAGATCAATACTGTAAGCATTGAAGGGGGGCTATGGAATTTTGAAATTTCTATCTTCCTGATCACAAAACTCCGTATTATATATGTTTCTTTTGCAACTAGATCATGAACCGTATTATGTGTCAAAATTTTTAAAGCCTCTATTCATCCATGACAGATAGCTTAGTAAATTAGAATTAGACTGGAAGGAAACATGATTCGTACTTTCACTAAATTGATGTGTTGCGACCAAGAGGTAAGATTGAACTAGACCAGTCAAGTATATGTCAGAGCAGAACCAACAAAATTTTGATTTTCAAGATTTTGAAGAATTCTTCCATTATAGAATTAGAACAGCATGGAAAGTAGTTCAGAAGATTGCTTTTCAAAAGAGGAATTTTAACAGAATCTTGTTAAAATTCGTGTTCGTATTATATAATATGTCAGTCATTTATAATAACCTTCACTAAGACTCTAAAACAAACAAAATTATTATTGAATCAAAAACATATTAGAGTAACATAGCTTCCTTCATATTATATAAAAAAATTGGATCTTGAAACGAAATCAGGACCATCTAGAAGTTTACTCTGAAGACCAGCTAAAGCGATTTTGCAAGTGCTCAAAGTGCTGTATCACCGCTTTTTAGTATGATGTGTAGTTGTGTCTTAGCTCGTCCATTCTTCTAATCAATGGTAGAGTTCAATTGAAGCATTTTCTCTTCTTTAAGATGTTCAGGGCCAAAATATGACGACACCCGATCATGAGGCTCTCCAAGAAGAGGGCTGATTTGCATTGCAACGCTCAATGTTATTAAAAGTTAATGGTACCACTTCACTGGAACAAGTAGAGCTGAGATTAGTTACGAACGGCTGAAAGTGAGACAGAGATGGTATAGTTCGTTCCTGCAGATCCGTAGCATGCTCTCGGAATGGGTGACCAAGCAAGTACTGAGCGAAGATTGAGTGCCTAGCGAAAGAATGCAGCTTTTCGACGTTTCAAACTGGTTGGACCTGCTAGACCTTTTAGACGATGACCTTTGACAGCTTCGTCTTTATGACAACTGAGTACAATCCCACATGCAATTCCACCTAAAATCTGTCATTCACAATCAGATGCGAGGTCAGATCAGATCCTTTGATAAAGATAGAATCCGTGCGAGGCAATTGAGGTCAGTCACTCTGGAGAACCGTATCTCAGTAGTGAATGACGGCCTAGATCTGCCATGTTGAAAGTTGAATGAATCACGAGCTAGTTGCCATCGGCGAGCCGTGAAAAGTCAAAAGTACCCACAGTAGCCTCACTGTCGGAGAGGAGGCAAAAGTGAGGACGAAGATTGCCTGCAAACGAGAAATGAATCCCACGTGCAGAAATTTGAGTTCCTGAACATCGAGAGCGACGTTAAACGAAGAGTCAGATTGGGATTAGCAAAACGATTCGTCAACGCACGCTGAGTGCTTGCATAGTCCCCTTCACACATCGAGCTGACAGGCTATTATTCTCTTGAGGTTCATCCTTCTCATCCTCGTGAGCTTGAAATCCATATTCCATCGGAAAGGAGCTAAATCCTAGTCGTGTAATGAATCTGATTGTCGATACATCAAGCTATCAGGCTTAGAGACCGTGCACACAATTACTTTCAATGAAGCTCATGATTCTTGTATGCGAGCAACTGCAGGGATTCATCTGTTGCAAGAAGGAAAAGAATCCAATCGAGGAAAGCCATTTTTTACATGCCGTATATGTATCTCCAGATGCAGATGCTGCTGACGCTGTATCCAAGGTAGCATCATCAAAAGAATAGCTGCTGTGTCGACTAGGCGATGCAAGGAACGTCTGGCAGATCTGATCACAGGATGTTAGTCCTGTGTTGTCAGCCAGGACAGAAATATATGGCCGTCGTGAATTTGGTACTACTACGACGTCAAGTTTTCTCGGTATCACATCCTTCTGTTTGTATGATATGCATCATTCATTTGCGAAGTGTCGATTCTTTGTTAGTTACAGCATCTACATCCCTTGCAGGAACATGAAATTTCGTTATGTATCCACGATACTGATGTAATCAAATTTTATATACTATCCACACGGATAAAATCACCTTCAATGGACTAGTGCTTCGGTCTAGGAGGAGACAATTTGCAAAGCACGTACAAGTGAGAGAATTTCAACAGCAATCGCACCCCATAGTTTAGCATTGTAGATCTGAACTAAGGACTGTGGTTGTTCCTGAATACATTTCATGTCATTTAAGCTGAGTTTGCTTCAAACCATGCGCACTTTACCACAATTGCTATCAGCTTCCTTGTTATTCCATGCAGGGACCCAAAAACGGATCTTGGATTTATTGTCTATTCGTGGATAGAGACGAAATTGGTTGATGTTGGACAGATTCTCTAAACACTTGTGGACCATACTGAATGAAACATGGGCAGGCAAATGGTGTCGGCCGTGGACAGGGGCTGATTTCATATTCATCAGCAGGTCTGAAATGTGTTGGGCCAAACTGCGCTGCGTGTTTTGAAACCTGTGGGTCTGGGCAATCGTGACGTTTTGATGCCTGAATGTAGGTAAGAGGCATACCCACCTGCTTCGAAGCAGAGAATCCTAACTCTTGTGAAATCGATGGAGAGTTCCCTGAATGCAAACAAAGAGGTGAAATCCTAAACGTACACTTGCCAAAAGGGCAAGCGAGAATGATGCGCGCTGTTTTAATATCCCTATTCCGAATTAGATTTCTATTCCTTTCACTCTTTCTCATAACCTTTTCTGATCTCTTCATCTCGTTTATTATATCACAAATATTGGCACATCGAGATTTCCACCCACGTAGTCCCATGTTGTCCTTAAATCTTACCTGAAGACAACTAAAAAGCAAAAAACAACTAATAGCTGCTTTTGCTCACTTTGGTTCAGACCTTGAACTCACTTGCGGACAGTATTTATGAATTCGTTGGTTCAACTATAGCACGGTTACTTTCGATTACTTCGGTTCTCCCTTTTCTGTCATGTGACTACTCCGCGTGACACTGATAATTAAACAATGTGTACATGATGTAAAATAGTTTCGGACATTAGATTGTACACTACGTATTTTTCCCTTATTATTTTTCTCCAGATGAACGTCGAAAAAGGCTGGAAGATAATCCATGAGTACTTCGAATAGACTTTCTCCCTTTTTCAGATTACTAAGTAACAGTTTTACGATTGAGAGTGTTGCTTCCCGAAGTATAGAAGTTGATAAAATGTAGAAATTCAAAACGAAATGTGCTTCAACCTTTTTACAACGCTCCATTTAGTGGAACCAGAAGAAGCGGAGGCATTTGAGGGTCGATCCCTTGTTGAAGAACGACAGTGTGTCGTGCAAAGAGTCAAGAGACTTCACCGATTTCTGTTCCATTCTTGTATTCAACAAGGCTAGACTAAGCAAGGAAGTATTGCCTTAGAATTGCCTAAATTCGTGCTCACGACTGAGGCAAAACTCTCATTTGCCAATTCGGCTGACCAAATTAATGATTTGCACAATTCCGAGGCCTCGTCTATTTCTCTCTACTCATGATTATGGTACATATCTCGTTCACCCTATTGGCGATACAACTGCATCTACGTCCTCACGGGCTGATAACTACTTTGAAAAAGAAATCCTTACAATGCGCACCCAGCAATATCTCTGGGTGGGTGAATAAATGAATGCATTATATATGGTTCTTAAAATGATGTCCTTGCCTTTTGAGGGTGCCAAGAACTAACTTAAGACTACTTCATTAAGTTTTTTGCCTCTTGGGCTTTTGCTTGCGACCCAGCTCTTTGATTTTTTCTTTACTTGCTTCGTCCCTGTAGCGCTTTCGTCTTTCTTCCCGTTGATGCAACTTGCTAATCTGTTCCTCCTTCGCCTTCTTCAGCTCATGAACTTCTCGCCTCTTGGTGTTTGATTCCTTCCGCTTCTTGGCCTAGATCAAGGGAATTATGTCAAAAGCATGTAAAATGAGAGAGCTGAATTGAACGTTTCATGATGAAGATGCATTCACCATTCCAACTAGCCTGAAACCTCAGACTTTTATCCTGGATAAGAACTTGTCCTGGATAAGCATCCCTGTCATCACTGAGCTTTGACACTGAGAGAGCAAGTCTCAAATGCAATCAACGTTGGTGGAATGTGGAACTAACCTTCTCTTTCCGGATGGTGTTCAGTTGCTGAACAAGAGTGTGAAGTTTGCGTTCGTGAGGTTCCATAACAACGGCACGTTTGGTCTCCAGCGTTTTCTCCTTGCGTTTAGGCTTCTGCTTCGGTTTCGAAGCAAAGGGAAGAGCAGTTTGCAGCTGCTTCGGTATCTTCAACGCGTTGAACTTTCTGACGTGTCTTTCAATTGGCTGCACTCGTGAGAAGTTACAACAATCACTTGTCAGTGGAGATCAAGTTCGTGAGTAGAATGTGGTGTTTCAAGGTCTCAAGACGAAAAGCCCCCAGAATCTCGACAGTTCCTGCTATCACCAGTTTGCAAATAAACAGCCTCCGAGGTCAAACTACCTTGTAAAGAGAGTCCTTGTTGACAGGGATGGAGAGATTCCTCTCCCGCCGTAACTCTGCGACCGTCTTCATCCCTTTCCACGTCGCGTCTCGGGCTTGTAGAAGAGTAGTTACAGGGTTGAAAAACTTCGGAACTTCCACTCGTGTCCATGCCCGAAGAAACACTATGTCACTCATTAATATTTTATCCTCAAAGGTGCAGCGTATACTACCTTCTGCACCTTGACCAGTCTTCACGGCCTGTTCATGGCACAATGCCATTGGTTAATAATCTGCATTGCTATAAAGACACAGTGAACACTTTGCGCAATCGTAACATGCGGAAGAAGTACATTGATCGGAGAACAGAACAAACTCCTGCGCTAGCAAACTGTGAAGAACTCAAAAGTCAAGAAACTGAATCATGGTCTTCTTGTCTCACCTTCTTTATTTGACCCCGAATGCCACTAACAGTCCGCACGGCAGCTCCTTCAAACCTCGCTACTTCGAGGGCCGAGGTAAACATATCTCTCACGAAAGCAGTCTTTTTGAAGATCTTGTATGGGTACCCAACAAGCTTAAGTTTTTTCACTATGGCAACCGCCTGATCTAACTCGAGTACCACACCTGTGGCACTTATTCGAAAGGATGACTGCCAAATAAACAAGAGTAAGAATATAAGCAACCCACACCAGAGGATGATTGTATACAAAATGAAGACTCGAGTCAAGAAACAGCCTACAAGATTTGGTAAAGGATTGAAAGACACCAACCTGATTGTTGGAAAGATTTTGGAAAGCCACCATTCCTGCGTTTGGAGGTGCAAGGGGGCCCCAGAAAGTGGCAAGACAATGCATATGTTCTGGTGTATACTTAAGCATTCGGTGTCGAGCATTCCGATCCTCTAAAGAGTAAATAGGTATTGTCTGATACCGTCTCCAACCAACGGACACAATAAGGGGATCTCGGTTCTTCAGAACTTTGCGATGCCACCTGTGCTTCTTGAATCGTGCCTAACACACATATAACCGCTTACAGCTTAATGACTAATCACGCTTGGACAACTCGAGTGTGTCTTGATCCAGTAACGTCACAGTATACAACTTTAAAAAAATCTGCTGTACTAAGCTTGCAATGCTGGACTTGATTGTCGCAGACCTCTTTAATTTGCATGTTTACATAGCGTTGAAAAGTGTCCAACCTTATAACGTGAGACACTCTCATAGAGGACACATTCACATATACTGCAGCTCAAATGTGAAACCTTGGAAATTAGTCTCACCTGCATATAGCCGACAGTTTCTTCACCCCTTCCGACACCTCCCACGAGAATTGGATGACTAGGATCAAAGTACTGGACCATTTCGCAAGGCATGCCGTGAAGTTCTATTCGTAAATAGGTACCGCCCCTAAATCCTTCCATTTCTATCCTGGTTTCATCATCAATCTCTCCGAGCTCAGCAAGATTCTTCTGCTTTCTGAGCTCAATCTCATCTTTGACCTGTATCAAGAAAAATTCTAATAAGATCAAACAAAGTCCTTACGCGCAGTGTGATCCTATTGCACCGATGCTATGAAAGCCATAAATCCACCGACTCGGAGGATAGCAAGGCACAATTTCAGCTGCCAGAAAACAAGCATCTGTAATCAACCTCGTCCGCAGTTTCAAAAGTAATATGAACCGACAAACCAAAAAATCACCAATATCCAGGTAAAACTCATACCTTGTCAAAGTAATCCTTCTCTCCCGGCTCTGTACCACCACTTTGATGATGTTTAGTTCTTGCGCTAGCCTTGCCACCGTCTCCATCATCCATATCCTCTGAGCCATCATATTTATTATCAAATTTGGCTCTCAGCGCAAGTTTCTTCAGTCTCCTTTCCTCAGCTTCGGCAGATGTTTCTCCCTTCAAAGGAACTAAGCTTTGATCTTTCTTTGCCACCTTCGCATCTTCGGCTCCTGAATGTTTCTCACCCGTCTCTAAGTCTTCAAATTCTCCGTATACCTCATCCTCATCGTCATCTTCGTCGATCTCACCCCTTTCTCGCTTAGCAGCTTTCTCCCAATCTCCAGTAACAAAACGGTCACGGATACTTTCGATTTTTTCATCATCTTTCCAGTCGCTCAGACCACTAGGATCTAGATACAGTTTAGAGCAATCCTCTGTATCCAGATCATTCCCATCAATACCTGTGCTGCTGGCTCCCTGGGGACAGGCAGGACATAAATTAGGATAACAAAACCTATAACTTGCTAAGACATAAATAGAAGTACTTCAATTTAGTAACAAAACGGTTCCTAAAATAGAGAATTCAGTCACCCCAACCTTTTGTGAATCTCGTCTAATTCGGAAAAGTTCTTCTTCGTCACTTTCATCTGAGTCACCATCCACTTGAGATCCCTTGAAGGATGATTGACTGGCCTTTGCACCAGGTCTGCCATATACCAGATGCATCAGATTCACTTTATTTTTCGCAATCGCCATTGCCCGGGACATCAGACCTTCTTTCCAGTTAGCAGCCCCGTCACCCAGCTCGACTTCCACTCCTGTATAAACGGTGAAGGTACTTTGTTAAAAGCCTGAAACTCCGACGTTGCACTATTAAACGAAAAGTTAGTGCTAAACACATCTATTTTTTTAAGTTCAAAGCTTCGTATACATTGGACAGAGTATCCTCGCGTTAAATGTAAATCAGACAGATGCCAGATACTGTCAACTCGCAAAATCTGACTGACCTTTCTTCCGTCTTGGCTTTTTGCCGTTGGCTTCGATCTCTTTAGAGACCACAGTTTCTGTATCATTGCCATTTTCCATTTCTATATCTTCAGAAATCTCATCATCTTCGTCTTCCTCTTCTTCGCTGTTGTCATCGTCCGTGCTGACATAATTCTCATCAATGACCTGAAATTACAGCAGGAACATTACGCACTTCCAGTTTCGCGCCTTTCGGACTTCTCACGGGAACAAAAAAAAAATTTGACAGTCAAACGTTCGTTGGAATGAAGTTAGTCAATTCATACCTTCTTTCGGTGTAATCCGGTGCTTAAATCTTCTATTTCATCATCATCACCATCGTCGTCGCTGGAACCTGCGAAGTTTAGATTCTCTTCCCCTTCATGATCACCACTATCGGGCATCTCTTCGTCTTCAAATACTGCCCTTCGCCTCCTCCTTCCATTTTGCATTTCCGCCACTTCCGTGGGGAATTTTTTCAGACTTGACTTTTTTTGAGAAGCCCCTACTCTCAGTAACTTACCCACATCCTCATCAGACCCCGAATCTGCATCCTCGTCTGTTTCACTGAGATCGTCAATCTCGTCCGAATCTTCATCGCTACTTTCACCCGAAGCCGGCTCTGATTCATCATCAGAAATGGCATCGTTGGTCTTTGAGGGTGTGGATCGTTTCGTACGAGAAGGCTGCAGACCTGCCAAAGCAGCGTCCTCGTCACCGTCCTCCTCGTCTGAATCTTCATCATCCACGCTTCCATTCTCGTCGTCGTCACTGGAAGCATCATCATTTTCTTCACTGGTTGGCGCTACATTAACTGGAGCGGATCCCTTGAAGAGCTGAATGAAACTTTGAGACAGTTTCTCATCAATGGAGTACTTCGTGTTCTGAAGTGTCTTCACCATGGCTTCGCCGACATCCATGTCTTCCTTTCCTGCAAGATAGAGCAGCAACAGTTTTCAAGCTTAAATACATGTACCCATATCGAAGTGCAATGTGTCCGGGCTGGAATTATTCATCTCAAGTGAAGGCAACTCCATATAATGAGATTGTTTTCACGAGACTGATGAGAAATTTTACATAGCCTCAGACAATAACGCAAGGGCTGCACAATCCTCTAACCAAGAGCTGAAAGTCAAAAACACCTCCTCCATCTTGACAGAAAAACTTTCCTGAACGCCAGATATTTTCTTTCTACAAAAGGTTTAGCTTGCAATTTGCAGCGCTAAATATGAGAACGACTTTAGTGAGAACGATCCCAGAAGAGTATGTTCTCTGTAAGATGTAGAGGCTACAGAGCACGTACTCTTCTCTCCCGCTTCGTCGTCCCCTTCATCACTCTCCTTTTTGGAGAATTGTACTTGGTGATCGTTGATGTTGATATAGACAGCATCCTTGTCATAAAGCATCTCTCCAACATCAGACATTGGAGCATATAGCAGCTTTTCCTTCTCTCGGAGACCCTTCTTCTTGGTCGCGGAAGGCAGCGGACATGGATCCATCAAAGCCGCAACCCCAGCCAGCTTACAGTCTCCTACACCAGCAATATGCACCTGGAAACAGTCCACAATGACTTTAAATCGATCTGTGTGGTTCACACGGGACAAACTAGCCCGCTCAAATTAAGATTCATAATTCGGTGAAATTCCCACATCAACTTTTAGAATGACATAGAAGTACCCATGTCCACAACGAACTCCACGGATAGATATTAGACATCCGTTGTAGACGAAGGAGAGATGATGATAACTAAAACACATGTGAAACGGTGTTCTCACCTTCATATCTCGCTTCAGGTTACTCCCACGGAGATAACCATAAATGGTTACATTCCGGTCGCATTTCGGATCCTGATGGATTCGATCAGGAGGAGTGACGTCCTCAAAGCGATCAGCTAGAAGATATGGATGGTTAATGCGCCATGTCAAAGGTCTAAACTTTGCAATGGACACAAATCTAGCCAGGTTGTGCACCTCACGTTTTGGGTACCTGCAGATCAGAGACCAGAAAAAGGCTCTCTTAGTACATCATCAACATTTAAAGACACCTCATCCCTTTAAACTAGACATCTTCGACAATTTCCACACCACAACATATCAAACCTAGAACAAGCAAAGTCAGACTATAATATTAATTGTGTAGAGATATCATACTTTCCGTGCAGAAGACCAGATAAGTAAAAAAGCTTCGCTCCATCGTATATTTCGGTCCAAAATCGATTCTTCAGTCGCTTCTTAGTCTTGCGCAGGCGCTTCGGATCCTTAAACTGATCCAAATGTGTCAGAACACCCATGACTTTGGGAAATCCATGGACCTGGAGCACGTTCAGGAACTCGAATGTTTCCTGCATACGTACAATAAGGTGTGAGCAACCGAGCTCAGTTTCCTGATGAGAAAAGCAATAAAGTGCTTTTAACAACAAATCTTTTGCAATAAGTCCAAACAACGCTCTTCTCAGGTCAGTAAATACAAGATACACACCATCTCGAAACCGTAACTGCCATCAATAAGCAGTAGGACAAGATCTGCGAACTTCGCAGCATCTATCATAGCATTGATATCGTTAGCACATTCCACAAATTGGAGCCTCCTCTGTTTTCCTGAGGCATGACAAACAGCGAGTTTGGCTCAGTATATTTCTTGAAAATTTAACTTTCATCTCCACAAGTGCATCTACATTCCATATTGAAGTATTCCACCGAAGGGTCTCATACCCACAGTTGTAGACAAACAGCTAGATGAAAATTGAGCCATAATTTGTTGAGTCAGGAGTCTGGCGATCTCAGGGCTCGTATCGCGAATTGAAAAGACAAGAAGTTCAGAGAAACTACAGTGTCTGCCATGAAGTGGGGATTGCATGATCAACAAATTTTAATTGAAGCACAACTTGGGGTTCCTCTGTCGGATGTTTTTCAAGACAACTAAACAATCCCTGATCTTATCTGTAGTGAGTACGCTCAACTTTGTAACAGAAACAAACCTTCTGCTAAAGTCCAATATATATTTCATTGCAAAAGTAGTCCCTTCGTGACTGATATCCGATGAAACATTGAAAGGTAAATGAATTCAGACAAACCTTCACGAAGAAAGAGAACTAAAGTTCTAAAAAGTTAGAAGTGCACCTGAAACAACAGTTATGGGTCCGCGAACATCTGAAAGATTGTGTTTCGTGTAATGCTTGACTAGACATTGAATAAGAAGTGTTTTACCAACCTGCAACACGAAAACGTTTCGTTAGGTGGTTATCCACTAACGTTCAATGTGCAGACCGTAGTGGAAAAAAAATTCCCACGCCGGAAATGCTGAGATGTAATTCAGCAAACAAAGCTGTACAATCTCTGAAACACGGGCAGTTACGACAAAACTGATGCATGATTTTGTTCCTTGCAAAATGCACTGACGATCACATCGTCTCAAGGGACATGAAAGCCCTGGACTTTACACTAACCTGGAGTTATGGACATGTACATAGACTCAACAGTCTACAGTTATGTAAACCTACTGAGAAATTATTACAAGTTGACAAGCACTAAAACATACCGGGATTCCACAAGTTAACAACAAGGGGGGCTTAAAATTGTTAACAATTGCACAAGACAAGACACTGATAATTCAGCGTTAAATACTCGTCCCATAGGATTGTTTGATTTCCACTATTCAGATACTTCGGCCGAGTTTTTATTTTGAGTGTTCTTTCTGCTTTTTCCAATGGGATTCGTTTTTTGACCATACTCACTTGGCTTATCAGGTCATATCCGAAGCGTATGAGCAATGCAGAGTCTCAACTGAAGAAAAATTAAACATTGAAATTAAATAGCAATAAAATCACAAATCTTCAGAATGAACTTACACCGGGTGGGCCTTGAACAACGATGATAAAAGGGGGTGGTTCTCCAGAAGAACGATCGATAACAGGTACGTGAAGCCTGCGTTGATCTTTCTCTGCAGTTCTCGCTTGGAGTCGTTTTGCTTTCGCTGCGGACTGAAATGTGAATGCCTGTACATTGGACGAGAGGGTAACAAAATTCAGTTCAGGCCAAAATGTGCCCAATTAAACCACATCACCCAGTGTGCGCCTGAGCTGACAAAACTCTATTCCAGGTTTGGATACTTCAATTCACCTTCGGATTTTCCTTGGCAGTTCCCAATCCACGTTTCTTCTTATCAACAGCAGCTTTCTTCTCCGCAGTGGGTCCTGACTTCGCTTTCCTATGCTGCTTCTGAGGTTTTCCTACAAGCGCCGCAAGTCCACCCCCACCTGCCATCCTTGCCAAAACCCAAACCTCCTCCGATCCCTGTCACGACGCAAATCTTCCAAAACTCTGCCCCTCAGCTGTCAGCGACAGCTCCGAATTCTAATTCTAAATGCTGCTCCTGAACCCTATCACCAGGCGCAGATGCTCCGGCCCAACTTGCCATCGATCTTGGGCACCAACACTCCCTCAACTCGTCGAGGGAATTGGTGCATGGCAACACCTCGAGAAATGTCCCCCATTTTTCAACTGCTGCTGCTGCTGGGCACTACAGGTTCCATGTCCGCATGGTTAGGGTTTCTCGGGGGTTTAGGCGTTCCAATTCATTTCGCTCGGATTCACGGACAGAGTGTCTCTGAACCTCCGCGAGTACGGCCTGTCCCGGTCCTCGCTCCTTAGACGTTTACTTGAAGGGCGTTCCTCAAATTGAGCGGCGTACACCTGTCGGTCGAAGGTTTCCGGAAAAATATAGTCGCTATGAATTATCTTAGGTACTATTTAGCGACACTATGGCGAGACATAAAACTTGCTGCCAATATTATGTGTAAGCTTCTAGTCAATACTGTACTTTTCTAAGGAAAAGAGAATTAAAGAGAAAAATAAAATATGGTCATATGGATCAGCGAAAAGGATTGGAAGACATATGAAACCTTACGAAGATGAAACCTAACGGGGGACCTAGGAACTATGCGCGAGCTATGTCAAAGTCCGACGTGGATAAAGTACCCAAGTAGTATGGTAAAATTTGAAGTGCTTTCGAAGCGATTTCATGTTTTTCAACCTCGAGACACACAAGTATACGTAGGCACAAAATCCTTGGAGTTGTTTGAAACTTTGTAGCGGGAGCTAGGTGTAATTTTGTGATTGTTATTTCATGGACTTTCTATTTAAGTCCATTCATATGACACAATATTATATTTTCATGACTCTATTCCAACGAATCTATAGAAGAAATCAATTATTTTTTCTGAACTTGTATTGATCAATGAATGGACTTGATATATTCATCTATTCTGTTCGAAATGGACTCTTAATCGACGGCTTGAAAAAATGGAATAAAACCAATGCTAGGGTTTGAACCATAAAAAAATGTTTTCTACGAGGCAATATAGTGATTATGTGTGGAAATATGTATATATATATATATAAAGTGTCAGAAAATTAAGCACAATTTGTATGAGTCATTATTACAAATCTTTGTGAAAAGAAAATGGAATTTCATCCAAAATATACTTGGTTTTCATCACATGTACAATATGTGTCGCAATTCTTATGCAAAATTCTGAAAGTTTAATGGTTCCACTTGCTTGTACTGCATCAACTGGTTCATTTTCTTATACACATCCAAAGTCTGACCGTTTGCCTCACATTCAACAAAGATATAAGCAATGTTACCACGTCATTATAAAATTGTGTATTATGTCAGGTATCTACATCCATCTCCTGTAAACATGCACTCCATAAACTGATTAATTATTTTATACAGATCCAAAATAGGACCATTTGCCTCAAATTTTAAAAAGACTAAATCTCTCTCACCACTTCATCCTAAAATTGCTTCTTGTGTTGTGAATCTATATCCATCTACTGAAACAAACTAAAGTGTGCATTAGTTTAATCCCAAAAAGTGCAAATAACTCAGAAAATTTACCAACCATAAAGTTAAAGTGTCCTATGTAAATTTTTTCTTCTCGCATACCAAATTTTCACTTATCTAGTATGAACAAGGAATTTTTTTTCAACATTATCATGAGGAGACATGCGGAAATATTTTGAACGAAATTCGATGATTCAAAACTTACTGATTATATCCTGCAATAATTCTAACAATACTGACCGCCTTTACAAGATGATGGTTTCGATACGCACGTGGTACGTGGCTAGTACAGCCAAAGCTAGTGACTAGAGTCTACTAGTGACATTTTATTGTTTTTACCTAGAAGCAATAAAAGTGAGCAAGCGAAATTGATTTACTTTCCTATGAGGATTCCTCCTAAGAAGTTCTCTTGGCTTTGTATATGTAGCTCATTAAACCATGTGTAAGTGAGAACTTCAAATTAAAATAATCATACATATTTTCTCATAACAGATATTGACTAATTTGAGATCAAGTGAACATGCTTGGTCTAAAAAAGCAAAAGGTTAATATACATATTTCGGAACGCCATACAACTTTGACTTTCTGGATAGCATGAAAGTTATGAAGTATAGTAATGGAAGACATGGTTTTCTTCCACATTGGAGTGGGATTATTGTCAACGAAACCTTACTATCTAGATTTCAGGTGGAAAATTTACATTACAGGCATGAGATAAGTATTCAATATGATAGATTTGAGAACCATAGAACTTAAAAAGTTGAGCATAATCCCAGGATATGACTAGAGGTGACAAACAATCAATCATTGAGAGTATTGTACTCCGCATAAAAGTGAGTTGGCCAGATTCAAACTGTAATCGAGATGATGAATTATACTGTATCGTAAAACTGTTTGTAAATATTATTCCTCGTGAAGAAAACTTCAAGCTGAAGATCTCAAAAACTGATTGTAGACTTCGTAACATGAAGATTTCGATATTACAACATACATAAACATGTGGTCAAACCTGGGTAGGAAGAAGTTTTATTGAGCGAAGAGGTGGATCATGATTGGAAGAAGAAAATGAGCTACAGTTGCAAAAAACCGAATACATTATCACAAGTTTGACTGTCCAGCGCACGAAAGGAAAGAAGCTGAACCACGTCAGCAAGAGATATGATTCCTTACGCGGTTAGAATGTCCACCACGTGAAAATGGCAGAACAAAGACCGTGATGTCTGAATCGATAGAAAGAGGAAACACGCTGCTGTAAATAAAGGCAGCGAGAGTAGGTTCGAATGACCGATCGAGAAGGGCAGTACGATCTGGTCCGTCGAATCTGTCCGGTGTACGCTGTAATAACCTAGAGCTTTTGTACCGAAGGTCTGCCAATCAAAGTCCGCGATCCCATAGCTCCGCGGATACCCGGTTTGAGGATGGAAGGTGCCAACGCTATCGAGGCTCCGACGTTTCACGAGATCCAGTAGAGCGGAGCGGGGCGCGCCTAGCTCATGGTTATCGTTGGCTCGGCTCGGGCGGAAGAGAGCACCTTGTAGCTGTGCAGCGGATTGTCGTAAAAGCGGAGAGCGCCTTCGGTCGCTGCGTGTGCTCAGCAGCGTGTACGTCTCCGGCTGGTCGAAAGATCCATCGAGCGGACTTTGCCTGCAAGCAATCTCAGGAGGTCCGAGAATGTCAGCCCCCGGGAAAGGAGCTGGCGCAGCGCCCAAAGGTGGCAAGGGTGGAAAGGATAATACGATAGCGCAGGTCACCGGAGCTGTGATCGCCTCTGGAGTCGTGTGGAGCTTGTACAAATCAATTCGTGGTCGAAGCGCAGTGGAGAAGGATGCGTCGTCGTTCACAGACGCTTCAGTGGACATGAAGAAGGTGCCTTCGACATCCAGGCCCAAATTGGACATACATTATGAAGTCACCAAAGGTGACACCTTGTGGAGCATCTCCAGAAGATATGGTGTCACAGTCTTCGATGTGAAAGAAGCCAACGCTATTCCGGACGTTGATTTCATTGTACCTGGGGAGAATCTTGTCATTCCTCAGTGAGTTTGTTCTTTGCCTGATTGCGCAGCTGTCACAAACCATCCGTCGGTGAACAAGGTCCTCATCGCATTGGTGTGGGTTTCTTTTCTGTACTTGTAACCTATCCAGCCACGGGCTGTTTGCTCATTGTTGCAAAGCTGGGTGTCACAACCATTGTTGTTCTTCCAAGCGAATTTTCGGATCAATAAATTTCATGTTTCTGTATTTCTTCTTGCACTCTGTAAAATTCAGCCGTACAAGACATTTATGGTTTCTCAGTTTTGCTCGGAAAGGATAAAGTATTGGCTGAAAATTGGATCAATACTCTACAAACGGGTCGTGTCCTCATCATCTGACAGTTCGCGGTACAGCGCGGAAGCAATGCAGACTCGGGTTTCTCAATGGCCACACATTTGTCGAGAAGTTATCACCTGCTTTTCAACACGAGTACGAAATCGGAATTCTAAGCCAACAATTCGGAAACGAAAGTTCTGAGTCGATCTCCAGACGACGACATGCTACGGTGGCAGAGAAGACACCTTCTTGAGGGACCACGCTCAATTGTTCACGTGTGCTTTAGCAATTGAAATAATTGAATGTATCCTCGGCCAGTTTGAGCTGTCGGCACTGTATAATATATGAATTGGTAGAACGACAAGTAATTCGGACTCCACGTGTTTGACGCCTATCACTGGCACATTGTCAAGACCTTTCTATTGTTGATTTGTCAAGACCTTTCGATTGACAAGACGTTGATGACCTCATACGGGATATTGAAGGACTTCTGACGAGACGAGGTTCCGTGAGTAGTAGCCAAGTATTTAGTACGTCTGATACAAGATTTGATCGACACATCCTCACAGTTCTGTGTTATGGAGCTCCTTTGGAAGTTACGTCACCAAAGTCATTGCTCACGTGGGTTTGTTTGAATGGTAGGTGGGCTTCGCGAGACACTACAACTTCATCATGAGGTGATAGTTCTCTCCGTATACTACCCATGGTGGTCGTATCGACAGCTTGTAGACGCACATGTAGGCAACTACATTCTTGACGATTTGCATCAACTGGTGGATTAGAGGTCTGGTTAAAGTTCAAGCACTTCGATGTCTTTAACCTGGATTGTCAAAACATGACTTTGTGAGGCTACTTCATTTTCCCCAGACACTAGCACTGACATCAGGTGGAAATAAGTGAAAAAGAGTGACATCCACAAGTTTGTTTGTGCTCTCAAATTGAAACTCAAATGCAGATCTTTATTTGTTACAGACGAGATTGGGTCAAGGTGTAGACAATGTCAGTTGGTTGTGTTGAGTGATAAATCACTTCATTCGGCCAGTAATGCCTCAGTGAAACTTCGGTATCAGTGCACACCTACTCAATGTATCCCATTTTCTTCATGAACCAAAAAGAATTGACCATCGCCTAGATATATTTGGAACATGACCAGTCAGAATTTGGCCACCATTTCCATATCAATCGTCGTCTTCCCCTTCCAATACGCCGACCTCAACCTGCACAATTGTTACTGGTATATGTACCATGTAATGGTCACACTATGATGATGGGGTTTTCTCATACACAAGAATGTGTGCCTACCTATTATACAGATCTAACCAGGTTTCTTCCCTGGAACAATGTGTGTGCATTCTACTGTCACCTATGTTCATCATATCTCTCGATACATGGATGCCCTACACTCCACAAACCCCCACATTGTACTAGGAACAACTTCCGTCCCGCTTTCTTCTACCAAGTGCTCAATTCCTCTACAAAGTAAAACCAAACTCTGCATCCTTGACTCCTAACCCTACAATGCACATGGTAATGGATACAGACACAGGGATCAAAAATGTTATAGGCTGTCATCTTTGCAACCCAAAACTGCTTCCCCATGACTTCACTCTAGGGATGATGAGACGGGTCCGATAACGAGTCTCGTCTACCGTTCTCAGCATTCGCCGGCAGAAGGAGAGCTAATCTTGGTTTGAATCTTGCCACCCGCTGCATTCGATCTTCTCTACACCTGACAACATTACACAGGAAACAGCAGCTTAGATACAACATTTTGCATCTGTTTGGTAGAATAATGTCATGATGACTCATGATACACAAAATGATCACATAATGGTTCATTCCATGTACCTCTTTCGAATATTTTTAAAATGTTCGACGTGATGTTGCAGGAGCTCCTTCTCAGACATGGAGTCCACAGGTTTAGACAGGTCCGGCTGCCAAAATGACCAAAGAAGAAACAGTCACATTCCTTGCTAAGAAGTTAGAAAATCCATGAGAGCTCTCATAGACTCAACAACTTTGATAAGAATGTGCGCAAAAGTTCACATTCCTCTTGAAGAGTTCAGATAGTTGATGAATGCTCTAAGCAATCAGAGAGTCCATGAGAGCTCTCACTGACTCAACAAACTTTGATATAAATGACAAAACTCACTCTCTCCCTCTCTCCCTCATTCAATTCATTTCATATGAAAGAGATAAGAGAGTAACAAGGATATCATGGGCTAAGTGGTATGGGACAACGTAGATTACAGTATACCGTACCTGGATATGCAGTTTGGAATTCTCCTTACTGTCGCCATTCTCTGTAGATACGGATTCGATCTTCTCAGCTTCAGCAGATGTCAAAGGCCTAGGAAGAGAAGGTTGTTCCCACAACTGTGGCTGCAAAATAAGTTCACACAGCTCATGAGAAAATACACCTGTTAAGCTGAAAAACCCGCTCGTTTGATGATACTATAGTATCAGTATACAGCAATAATATCATTATTGGGAAACAGCAATTCTACTAGTGACAGCATTCCAAGATATCCGAATTCTAGCACTATATTTTGTGTATACCGCTCTAATAAAGCACTAGACCTGTAACTGTTCTTCTCCAATTCAGAGGAAAGCTTCTATGTGTTTCAGGCCCAAAAACTATTCATTTGTTTTTTGATCGTTTAAGCTGTTAGTATCAAACCCTGACCCCGAGCAATTAGCTATTACCGACCTGATCCTTTCTAGGCACGTCATTGCGAACCCAACGTCGACAGAGTGCGTAAAGGGAGGTCTCATCTTCCTCTGAGGACAACCTCACCTGTGACATGAAACCAAATTACCTCAGTCTCAATGTGGAGAAATTGCCATGATCACTTTCAACAAAGCAAGCACAAGTCAAGTCCAGACCTAATTCTGATGACCTTACTTTTCTATCGCACACTTTCACCAAGATACCGTTGTCGAGACTTCTGTCCCTGCATTGATGGAATAGGTCTGTATTAGAAAGAGATGACTGTAGCGTCAACTGGCCATCTTCGAGTATATCGGTGTCTGTTGCCTGTCCCAGGAAGGTACGAAAGCACAAGGAGAAGACAGCACAAGATTCAAAGGAAATGAGGCCCTGGATAAAAATCCGCAGAAAATCACCTGAGCAAGATGTCGTTATTGATAGCCGAATTGGATCCCGAGATGGGAGGACGAGCTGCTGAAACCTGCAAAGATGGAAAAAGGAAATTGCAGGATACTCAGAAAAGCCTTCCAGAAATCTGTGGCTTCTCTGGGCGATGAATCAGGAGCATTGGCCCATTGCCCCTTCAAATGCACTTCTACTGGGTTAAATTCAACAGACAAGGTAGGTTCTGTAAGTTCGATGCGGGAGAGCTACGCCACATCCTTGTAATTGTTTCCAGAAGGTTGAAATCCACTATGCGACGATGAATGCACCTGTTGCTGCGTAGCTACTGTAGAGCTCGCTGCCTGTTGCTGGTGAAGAGCTTGACCTTGGGTCATCTGTGGGCTTGGCGCCTGAGCCACTTGTAGATGTTGAATGCCAGGAAAATTTCGAGCATGGGCGATGGCAGATGCAAGGCCTGGGCCCATTGAAACTGGCTGCCCGTGATGACCAATCTCCTCGGATGATTGCAGTAGAACCCCGGGAGACGCGCTCCTAGACGTGGGACGATGGACAGTAGTTCTGGGATGGCTATGTTGAGCTAATCCTTTGACTTGGACGCTATGATTTGCGACGGAGACTTGGGGCCTCGATCCTGCATGGGCAACAGGCGCTGCAGGAGGTTGGGAACCTGCGGGCCTTCCACCTCCTTGAAAGTGCATCCCCGCATCCTGTCCCTCTGTTTGCAAAACATGATTCGAGGACCGAGCAGGCAGGGCCACCGGGCGGGCTAATTGAGGAGCGGACGATACTGCGAACTGAATCGGTGGGCGGGCAGTACCTCCGCCAGGCATCTTTTGCCCCACTGTCCTCTGCTTGAAAGAAGCTGCAGTCCGAGACGAAACCCTGCTATTGCTGAGCGGCGAAGATGCTCTCTGAGTTTGTTCTTTCACTGAAGGTTGGTGGTGATCATTGTGATGATGATGGTTATTCTGTGCAGATAAGAAAAACGAGCCTCTCGCAGAAGGAATACTCGCAGCAGCGAGCGATGACCTAGGCAGCTGATGCATCTCGTCCACTTCTCCGTCCTCCACCTCGTCGGCCTCCGGCCTCAACCCTCCTCTTCCTCCTCCTCCCACTTTTCCATCGCCTTCCTCTTTCTCTCCTCCTCGTCGCCCTCCACCCCCTGTCTCCTTCCCCATTCCCTCTTGCGCCCTCTCCCCATTCTCCTCCCCGATTCCTCGATCAAATCCCACCCACCAATCCTCTAAACCACCATCGATTCACGCCGTCCCTCGGACGAAATGCGCGCCAGGACGACCGACCGACACCCAGAAACAGAACACAAAGCTCCACAGCCTCAATCCCGCGCCCCAATCCGCCAACCTCCGGACGACGAATCGACGACCTGCACAAACCTCCGCTGCGCTCAACTCCCGAGCTCATCAGCAGAAGATCCCTACACCCAGACCTCCTCACCCCATCATCGCCTCGTACTAACGAAGCTCAATCCCGAAACAATCCGCCTCGTCCTCGTCCTCGCTCGCCCCATTCCTCCTCCCCTGGCATAGCCCGAATCCACAACCTCCGACCTTTCCACCACGAGAAAGCGAGACGGAGAGATCCCTACGACTCTATCTCGTGCCCCCTCCCCCCTCGAGACGAACCTTCGCTGGTCCGAAGAAGCGTGAAGAAACAGAAGAAGGAAGGCAATGAATGAGAGCGAGCGAGAGGCCGAGCTGCGGAAGTAGCGCCAGCGTCGAGGAGAGGAGCGGAGCGGAGCGGAGACGAGGCCGCGAAAGGAAGGATTTTTTGAAAGAAAGAGTTTGAAAAATGGACGAAGGCGATGGAGCGGCAGCCGACGATGATCAGCCATTGCGTGTCGCGGCGTCGTGTCTTTCCCTTTAAATAATCGCCGAGCTCGCCTTCGCCTTTTCCGGCTCCCTCCCGGCACATTATTTTCTCGTCTTTTCGCGCACTCCGTTCGCTCCCCATTGGCCCGCGCTAAAGGCCTCCTCCGTCAAAGAACCGCCAGCCTCCCCGAAGTCACCGGTCGACCCCTTCAGCATCACCGGTCTACCCGCACTCTTTCTCTCTCCGTCTCGCGTTTCTTCTCCTGAACTGCCGTATGCTTCCGTCCGTCCTTCGGTTTGCCAATCGGTCCGTTGGACCACATTCTCCCGGTGACCGGCTGGACGAGTCGCTCCGACGACCCCCAGGTGAGTGAAGGTCCCGGGACCTAATTCCTTCGTTCGCATTGTGGACGACGGATCTCGAGTATTTGGAAGTTTCTGTCAAAAGGCGCTGGACCGCTGGACCGGAGGTAGACGGGGCATCGTCCGAGGCCCAGCAGAAGAACATCTCATTATGACACTTGATTAGGCTCATAATCATTATTAGCATACATGTCCTTAAATCTTCGAGTGGCTTGCACTCATTCGCATGAGAGCTCATGTTCCCTTCGACCCCTTTCTTTGGAAGGACTAGAATATTTTGACTTCGAACCAAACGACCGTCAGTCATTCCATTTATGTGTCGAGTCCGAACCCAACCCAAGCGTACAGCCTCGGATACACTTCTGCTCTGTAAGTGTGATTTCCAGCCATCTGTTGGGAATCTATTCACCTCCCGTGTGGGAAGATGTGTAGATTCTCTCCTCTTATTGTTAGACAAAGATTCTTCTCATACATACCTCGAACTATCCGATGGTCCCTATGTATCCAGAGGTCAAACACCGTGATTAGGTCTCTCTGTGGCTCAAGTCGAACGTACAAAAGGTCAAAGAGACTTCGTGTTCACAGTATGAGGACAATTGCCGATTGTAACGCAGTACACAGAAAATTCCTCGGAGGGACGTGATGGGACTTTGTGACATACTAGATAGTCATGGGAGTGATATATTCTATCCACTATTCTTAGAATACAGTCGGAGACCTCGTAATGTTTATATTTATACCGAGTCCTGCAGTTTACGAATACATGGGAGAAATTCAATTGTAGTAGACAAACTCCAGACAACTATACTTCGGTTGCGGAAAATGAAAACAGACATTATGTGTATGTTATGCTTTACTTATCGATGGACTAATCATATCTTCAACGCGTGTTGTCAAGATGATATTTTCTGTTCCTCTATAAAATACTCATTTTTTCTTCTGTCGTTTTAAACGTATCCACTCGATTAATATTTTAGAAGATTATTGTCAATATAGTATTGTAACCCAAGGTCTTAGACTTTGCATATTTTGTAAACTCGGCAGTTTTGGAAGACCTTGATTTGTATTTATGATCATGTGTAAAGATTGATTCAAATAAGAATTAAAATATATGATCTGCTTGATTTCATCTGTTACAATTAAAATTTCTGATTGTTGGACACAAAAATGTCACAATAAAAGATCTCTTCATTATGAAAAAGTGTTTAATGATGCGATCAAAATTGCCCATGTTACTCTGCATTACAATCAATAATGATATTAATTAGTCATTAAATGTAGATAAAATTGGATTACATACAACTTTGAAAAATTGGAATTACCAAAATTGCATGAAGATGAGATCATGTACAAATTATGGAAAGTAGTAAGAAAGATCACACAATTAAATTGAATATTAAGTAATATAATACTTTGATTCTTGTGATAGCATGTTATGAGCTAAAACTTTGTTTAAAAAAAATTCCGTGAACAAATATGTGTATGACTTGAATGATATAAGCATTCAATCTTGCTTAAGAATTTTCACAGATGTTTGAGTTGATAAATTAAAATTGAAAAAACAGTATTGGATTAATTTCAATCTAGAATATTATTATTTTTGATTGATCCAAATTCATCTAAATATATAAAACTCAAAACTTTGTATACAAATAAATAGAACATTAAATATAATAGAAAATTAGCATTACATACATGTTGTCCAACCTGTAAACAAAAATCATCAAAAACATTGTACTCCTCAAGTTGGAAAAATTAACTCCATGAATGTAATATTAAAAGATGCAAGCTATGCATTGTTTGGTTCACTGGAAATATTACAAGTTTGAACATCAATTTCAAAGAGCCAAAACAGATATCAATAAAAAAATTTGAAAAAAACCAAGAAAAGTATGATCAAGGGTAAATTTAAAAATGTGAAGAATCTCCTTGAACACAATATATAGAACTTAATAAACTTACCAAAGAAAAGATATAACTTTGTGTCTAGCTTTTGCATTGTGAAGATAGAATTGCCTGTGTTGACTACTTATTCAAATTGAAGCAACTATCACATGAATAACTGAAAACTTATATTAAAATTAAAAAATCATCCCGTAAGAACGCTAATACATGTATAGTACTTAAGTTTACATATAATACTGCTTGAAAAATTGCTGAAAGTGGTAATCAATGCAACTTTTAATTCTAGCAATTTTTCAATGTGCAGCCAATGTGTTTGTGACAACCGTTGAGATCACATTACTCACTGTCACAAAATTTTATTTTGATTGTTGACATCATCCAATTTATGGATCTACAATTTTAATTTTATAATAATATCTAAGAATAAATCTAAAATTTATCATTTCATTTTTTTCTTTTACGTTTTGAATCATCTTTCAATAAAAAAATAAAACACTTTTTTTGATTGAATATGATCATTTTAAAACATAGTCTTGGAAAATCATACTTATTTTATTTAAAATTATATATTTATTAACTTGCAAGTTTTCTATTACTTCAAAATAAAAATGGAAAAGATGAATATTTGTTCCGCATTAATGCATCCACTATAAACTATTATGCATAGTTGATGGATGATAGCATCTTTTGTACCTGCTGATTGTCCATAGGATTTCCAGCATATAGTGACGTCTTTGGGGTGGGCTGCGGCTTTAGCAACCCACCTCTACTAACGCTGAGCTTAGAAGCTAAATCCCCCGCAGAGTCGTGAGACTTGTGGAAATCCTTTGTGTATCAAATAGTCAATCAAGTTTCTATGAGTCAAAGTAAATTTTTTATATTTTTCAATACTACTCGTTTAATTCATCTTCAATATAAATATCAAATTCTTTTTAACAGATTTCAAACTTAATTATCTAGTTTTAAAATTTTGAAGAATTTTTCACAAATTCATGTTTATTAAATAATCACACACACACAACTATATATAAAGTATTATGAAATGTAATAATAATCACACATAGAAGATATAAGTTATCTAGACTGCTGTCTTAGCTCAAAACCAAAATAGTTTAAGATTTATATTTTTGTTTCAAACAATGAGTCACATGTGGATCCTATTTGATATCATTTGATTTGAATAAAGCATATCATATTATCATTAAAAATTTTAAACAGAGAATATAATATTTTGATATAATATCAAAAAATGATATTTTTGCATATGTTTTTATTTTCTGAAATAATAATAATAAATTCATACATTTACATATCTGTAGTAAATTCTGACTTGCTGAAATATATCATTCGGATCTTTTTATAATTGGGACTTCAATGAAAATAAAAATATTCAATTCAATGGATAATGAAATTAATTATCAATGAAACATGAACACAATCAGAATATAAGTAATATAAATGGTTTTAGTGAATTTTATCTATTTATTCTTAACATTGATCATTCACATAAAATATAAAGAAAATAATATTTTCAATTAAATCAAGTTTTAAAGTTATAACATAAAAACTCTACACTGAATTTTATTCTTGGGCCATACATATATATGATTGAAATGATATCTTTTATCTCTTGATTCTTTTGTCATCACATATAGAAACTTAACCCATTGATATCAAAGATACAATATGCATGATAATCTTGAAGCAAACATCATTTATTCATATTTTTTTGTCCTTACGTAGCTTTATGAATATTTTACGTCTTACGCAGCTTTATTGCTAAATTTGCATCCTTCACATTCACTAAACCTTATACTTATTTCATTTTGAACATAAACGCACAAAAAAATGTTTTTTTTTGCTTCTTCATTTATTTCACATATGTGTTATTCATATTAGACTTTCAATTCATTATAAAAAATATGTTTTTTTTATATATACTTCATTAAAAAAAATATGAAGAAAAAAGGTACATGTCTTTTATATTGAATTTAATAAATGTCACCTCTTTATCATAAATGATACTTTTCTTGTTGAACTATATACATATTGGTTTTTATGATATTAATGCAAATTTTATAGTTGATGATATTATGTTTAGATACTGCAATTAGTCATGAGTCCAATGTTTTATTTTTTGAATATGAATGAGATCTAAGCTACAGATGTATTTCCAAAACAATTGAAATTAAAATGACAAACCATGCTTAAAAAATCATTATTTCCGACATGTCCGAGGATCTGGATAATCCACGTTCTGTTTGCTGATTGTCGATTTTATTTCTTTTATGCTTACGTTAGTAACTGGAGATAATTCTATTCAGTTTTTCTGATGATAGTTAATAGTTTTTCTGATGTTTACTTATATAAACATTATTATATTACATATATAGACTAAAAATATTAATTTAATAAAAGATTGAAATTTAGTAGAAATCAGAATCGTGATTGAAACATATAATATATTTGACTTAAAATTTAAATATTGTATATTTTTTTCGTAAATGGATAGAATTCATAGTTATTCATAGAAGTTGCAATTACTAGAATTTAACCTGAGTCATAGATAAAATGTAATAGGAACTCAATCATTGGAACAGTCGCAATGCAAGGGTTTCGTTTCTTCAAAAGGTTATCGATCTGCGCATGATCCGGGCTGATTTCATGCAAGTTGCATAATATTTAGAACTGAGGTTGCAGGATATTATTCCTTCACGTACAGTGTGTAGATGAATTTAAGTGTTCAGTAT